ATATATATATATTTCTTCATCAAAATATCATGTATACATGGAAAGTACTTGTTATTTTAAAGGCTACACATAGAAGAATTCAAATTTAATTGAGAAATTATATGAATTTAAATAACAAATCTAGAATTAAACATTCTCTAGAAGAACATGCAAGTAATAGCTTCATATTTTTGGATAAGGAAAGATACCTTAAATATGGTACAAGACTAATAACAGAAAATGTAAGTAGCAATCTATAAAAACACAAAAATGACCAAAAATTAATGTGTTCAAATTATAAAAGTATACCAAAGAAGAATGAAGAGGCAATGCAATGTCAATACATTTCCAACACATTCAACCAAATAAGGCTGATGTCAGTAATTTTGAAATAGAAAATTTCAAACAAAAGATAACTAATAAAAATAGCACCTCGCTTTTGCAAAGGCTAATTTTGAATTGGCAATTCTCCTGCCTCAGCTTCCCAAGCCACTGGGATTAAGGCATTTGCTACTGCAGGCTGCAAATGCTTAATCCTAAAACCAGCATTAGCTGTCAAGTTAATATATAGAGAAAGGAGAAAAATCACCTGCAGAAATACTTAACAAACAGAATATCAAAAAAATTAAATATATAACTATTTTTAAAGATCATCAATCATTGTATAGCATAAATACTGTCATATGAAAACACATTCACCAGAGTGTCTGAAATTCAAAATTCTGGGAATTTTTCATGTCTTTTTATTTTTTTCTTTTTGCTGGTGGATAGAATAAATAAAGCATTCTTTGTTAGCAGTTTTCATGACAATTGAGAAAGTGTAGTAGTGGAGAAAGAATAAAGAGATCAATAAAATAACAAAGACTGAAATATATTAGAAATAAATGGGATAAAATGCAAAGAGAGACAAATAGAAGACCAAGAGAATAAGAGAACATAACAGAATAGTAGAGTCTAGAAAATTACCACCAAAATAGAGTGAATTGCTCTTTGTTAAAAGGAATAAAATAACTGTACTGCAGCAGAGAGAGTTATTTCAACAAACCAGACAGGCACATGCATGGAATATAAAGAAAACTCCTGCATTTTCCTCTTAAACTTTCTGTGAACCGAATACTTCTCTCAAAAAAGAAAAATCTTCTTGAAATGTCCCTTTTGACCAACATTTCAAAGTCTTGATATTGAGAACTGTTTTACCTGACTCTACGGTTTGTACATTATTATAATAATTTGTAAAGACCAATTCTGCTCTCTACCTTCTCTAAGATGCAGCTAAAACATTATTGAGAAATTATGACCCTGAAGGATAAGTGAGAGAATATTGTTGGCAAATGGAATCTTTATAGGCTCAAAGTTAACATAATACAGATGCTCATCAAAATAACAATGTGAAAATACATCAAGACACAGTCATAAAATAAATCTTACACAACTAGGAAGAAGAAAGCAGCACAGGAGATGAAGAAGCAGCAGGAGGGAGAGGAGTGCAGGGTGAGAGAAGGAGGAGAATTAAGAAGATTCTCTTACAAATAATGTGAAGTGAAACAAATCAGAAAGTCCAAAGAACAAGTATAGAAGACATGCTATTCCACTCAGTAGACACTGGAGTTGATATAACTCATGCTTCACTCTTAGAAAATGAGATACAGCTAATAGAACACCACATATGAAAAAAAAATGCAAAGTCTATTTCATACTTGAAAACCTATCTGTGGAGTCGACATTTCTCTAAGTAAAAAAGAAAATCAAAATAGGTTCATCATAAAATCCAGCACTTGTTTGTAATAAATCGTCTACTAGAATGTAATGGAAGAAAATGTACTGAATTCAGTAAATGATATCCATTAAAGCCTACATAACACTTCTCATATTTACTAGTTATAGAATTCTTCCACACCCCAGTTAGAATGGCTATCATCAAAATGACAAAATATAAAAAAAAAATCTAATAAATGCTGGTGAAGTCGTGGAGAAAAGTGAACTATTGGACCCAGTTAGTGGTATTGTAAGTTAGTTAAGCCATTTGGGAGAACAATAAGGGGGTTTCTCAAAAGAAGTAAAAATAGATCTATCAGGTGATTCAACTATTTCACTTCCAGTTACATATAGAAAGGAAATAAAATCACCAAACAAAATCATACCTTCACACCATGTTTATTGCTGAATATTCACATTAGCAAAGATCTGGAATTAACCTAGTTAACTCTCGGTGGAGAAATGAATAAGAATATGTGGTATGTATAGAGAGTGAGGCATTATTCAGCATGAAAAACAATGGTGTCTCAAAATTTGCTGCAAAATACAAAAAATGGAAAGGGATTATGCTAAGTGAAATGTATCAAAGATAGATATATATCCTGTTTTCTCTCTCACATGTGGGAGATCAATATGAGTTTTGGATAGTGGTTACTAGATGATGTTATGGGTCAAGGAGGTTGGGAGAGGGAGATGGTATAATGGGTTCCAAAGCAGTTAGATAGGGGGAATGCGTTCTAGTATGGTATTTCATAGTGTGGTGGTAATAATTCAAAATAATCCATCAGATTTTAGGAATAACTAGAAGAAAAAGCTTGAAGGCTCCAAACACTAATTATAGTAAGATGAAAATGTTAATTACCATAATTTGATTAATACATACTATATATGTGCATTGAAATATCACATTATATCCAAAGATATGCACTAGCACCACATGCTAATAGAACATTTCTAAAGGTATAAGGAAATATCAATGTTGACGGCCCTTTTTGA